AAAATAATAATTTGTTAGACACCCTGGTTTCGTTTTTGCGGTGGTAGAATGCTTTGGTTTGATCGTAAGTCGACCACCCCACCATACGGTAGTCATGACTACCGTATGGTGGGGGGGGGGGTCGACTTATAATCAGTTTAACGGATCTAACAAATAGTCTGTTCAAATCGATCCTAAGCTTGTCGATCCACATTCTTTCAAGCAAGGTTGTGTGTCTCTTGTCTGTCACCACGGCTTCCAACGCAGTTGTCTGGTGGCTTAGTGTGACGCTGAGAACACATTGTCCCTTAAAGGGGCCCTGCACCGACTTTTTAACTGGTTTTTAATTTGCACCGAACCTGAGCACACTGCGCGTAGTAACTTAATAAAACTGTTCTTTTCTCGAATGTCGCTTTACTTTAGAAGTTATAGGCAAATTAAAATTACAAAAACAACCAAAAGATAACCTCCTTCATGATATCCTTGGTTGCTTGAGTGGCCGTGAACAAGAGGAGGAAAGGTAGTGAGCTCAGCGATCAGTCACGGCTGCCGCACTCCGTGTCCGCGGCTCGAGAGGGCACCACTAAAGCATGTTCCGGATGATAGGCTGTATGAAGCGGGCAGCCAGGGCGGCTCGCATTGCATTTGCTGCGTGATTAAACACCAATTCGGCATGACACTTCATTGGCCACAAACGACAGCAAGCACGGGGTAAAGATCAGTTCAGGACGGGAGCCACTTTGCGCTGCCATACCACCAAAAGGCCAAATTGCAAGCCAAAGCTGCTCGCCAAAGGCCTTGGGAACGCTCGGAACCGGTCAGACCCTCCAGTTCGTACGACTGCAGGGCCGTCGCGTACATCCGGGACCTTTCTATGCTCGCCGCTCGTTGGCGCCTGATCCCACTACACCTTTCTAGTATACGCCGCCTTTTCCACTGCGTGGTGGCGGGTAAGTCGACGGGTCATTTCTTGTTTCCGTACTTTATTAACTGCATTTGTTTCTTTTCTGATACAAAATAGTGAACAAAAAATACTTTTATAAATAATTGAAAAAGTTTATATTTCGACATAATAGCTTTTAGCGGCTCTGACCAGTAGTAAGCCCAGGACCTAAGATGTCAGCTTTCGTAAACTTTCGATACCGCGGGTCGCCCCGTAGGTGGAGGAGGTTTCCGCGTCATTCGGTTAAAATATGACGCGCGGATATTTAGTTACTCTCTCCATGCCCGTTGGCTTGCCCAAACCCCGAGGGACATGGAAACCGCAAAAAAGGTAGACGCTCGCCCCCTCCCTGCACGCGTCAAAATTACCTGCAAAGTGGGGGGGAGGCCCGGCGCTATCCCGGAATATCACCAAAATTCAAGATGGCGACGACAAAATGTTTTTGCCAGAAAAAGAAAAAAAGCGCAGTGCACATGGATTTAATATTTTATTTATCTCTGAGAACATAGACTTTATTAGGCCAAAGATTTGTCACTGCTATATTAATCACTTTCAAAACCACCAAAACACTCCTCCGAGTCGGTCGCAAGAAAAAGTTTGCAGCATTCCGCAATGTTTCCCAACTGCATGCTGTTGGCTTTTTTGACAGCCTCTTCGGAAAGAAGCTGGTAGCTAATGGCTCATTCTGCACTTCTTTCGCGCTCCAGGTATTCACAGAGCACATTGTCCACGTATTCACTGAACACCGGCGTGCCGTGACTTAGCTTTCGTCAAAATTTGGCTTTCCCATAGTTTGACTGTCACAAATTGTCAAAATTCTTGTCCCATTCCCGTACCCGGTCGAGCTTATCGTAGAATACGGTGCATCCGCCCATACCACATTAAGCGCCCATACCCAAATTTGTAAGATCTGAGAAAATATGCACGGTACATTAACATGTGGAATTGATGACTGGATAAGCGCCCATCCCCCATTTTTCTATGATTATCTCAAAATTTTGAGTGGGCGCTTGCCCGGTATTTTACGGTCATGTGTCGAGACATCTGGTGTACGTTTTTCCCGTTTTCACGATGCCATTGGATGACCTCGATTTTCTTTTCCACTGTGTAAGAATGCATAGCCGAACTGACACCGCCAAAACAAAGCGACAATGGCGCTTGGCGATCGAGCTGCAAAGTAGGGTTGGATTGGTTTGGATTCTTGGAACTGGATTTCGCAGGCCAGTGTTCCCTGGGCGCGGTTGGCACGGTGCATGACACGGGTGCGGAGAAGGGAGGGGGCGCTTTCCCAAAACGGCGCGGAAATGTGAAATTAGCGGCGAAGTTGGGGGGGGGGGGGGCTCTTGCTGAGGTGGGGGCGCTTGCTCGGAATTTTACGGTATGTGTAATATTTTGTAAGTAGGGACCTTAACTATGCAGGATATAGGCCTTATCAACATATCCGACAAGGGAGAATGGCAGAGCAGCCCTCCAATTGCCTGTTCTTGCAGTGGTCCTGTGACAGTCCAAAGCATGTCGGCATAGGTCCGCGGCTACTTGGCGCGGCGTCCTTTGCGGACTGTTGTTCTAGGTAGCCCTTTGAGAGTTCCAATGTCCAACTTCCGGCTGCCATATTTGCCTTCATCTACTCTACACCTGTGCATTTTCACTGTGCGGACTATACGGAGAAGTGTGACTTATACAAAAGTTCAACTTATATAATGACCTTTTTGTGAAAACGGCCGTTGATAGGGGGATGGGACTTGTAGATTGTAAAGTATGCTACTGTGTACTGCATGAACCAGATGGATCAAGAACCCACTTCAAAATCAACCCTCGAAAATCAGTTTTGTGTGCTTCGAAAGTAGCAATGGTGCCATTGGCACCACGACATGTGGCGCTAATCAGGGACTCAAAACACGAGTAAAACCAAAAACCGTTCGGGAGCAAAAAATTTTCAGTAACCGTAACTGGAATGAAATCATTATTTGAAATTTGTGAAAACCGTAGCCGTAAATTATTTACTGTTAACCGGTATTAAGGGAAACATGAGCCTAAATTTCAAACTTATTGAAAAAATCATTTTTCAAATTTGAGGTTTTCGGGTTTAGAAACTAATTAAAATGCCCTTACACTAAATTTGATAACCATACTCCAAATAGTTACATTGATATAAAATATTTTCTACACATTGTGAGGCAGTAATGAAGTAAAAAAGTTCAATGTTTGAATGCATTTTTCTCAGTTCCACTTTTCGTGCCATATTTAATATAAAGGAATCTTGTTCAAAGGTAAAAGTATTCTGATACCACAATCAAGCTGTTTCTGAACTGAAATTTATTGGGGAGTCGGGCTCTCTATTTTTTTTTTTTGGTTTTAGTTGAAGTTCTCATAGAGGGACGACTATGTTTCCAAAAATTGACATAGGACAGATATGCATCTCATATTTTGAGGTAATCACTCTTCCTCAAATATTTACATTTGAGTCATAAAAACTAGATAGCCCGAAGTCCCACATCCCCCGCTTTATAGTCATTCAGTCGAAATGGTGCTTAGTAGCTTCATTTGCGTACCGTAGATTTCTTAACGATAAGTGACACATTTTATGCAGGTATATAAAATTGTCTTAGAAAGCTGAATGTTTGTACAATACACATACATCTGGTGTTAAATCTCCCCAGCAAATTTCATTCCGATGACTTGTGTAGTTCAGAAGTTGAATCTCTAGCCAGTGTTCCCCCTTAACCAATATTATCCGAAAAATAAAAATATTAGTTTTTCTCAAGTATGACCTGGAGGAGGTATCTTGAAATGTTGTGGCCATCTGACAGAGTTACCGTTAGCGACTGGTGCAGCTGGTAACACAATTCCGTTCAATCTAAATTTAGGATTAAGAGTACTTAGTTAGAGTCAGTGGTTGAGCTTATAATGAAAAGACCATTTCTAAATCTAAAAACACTTCCAATCGCTACATGTATTCTATGTGTTGCCCTCGGGGTATTGACTAATAAGTCTGAATTCTGAGATGTTCATCCAACTCGGTTCTTTCAAAACTACCGAGTTCCTGACCTGCACTAGCCAGATACCAAGAAACGAGGTGAATTGACCATCATGCGGAGCTGGCGGAAAACAAAACCTGGTATTATTTTGTCCGAAACGCGTTGCGAGGGATAATTTTGGAACAACGCAGATAGAAAAAAAAATATATCGTGTTCTACTTTGATGTTTTGTTAAAGTCAACGGCATATATACGGGGTGTTTCGGAAAACGCGGGACAAATCGCTCCTGCGAAAACTAAGCATCGCGCAGAAAAAAGGTTTATGCCGTGCTGGTGTAAGAGCCCATTTAGAAGAAAAACGCACGACAGGCTGCATGAGATCTTCCGCCGACGACTGTCGAGTGGCACGACGAGCACGAGGGGCTTTCGCTCCGTCGTTCGCATCTCTTTCGTTCGGGGCTGTACCAGAATGGTTCAGCTGGGAGGTGCATTTATTTTGTGAAAATATCGTTGCAGGAGGTTGCCGTAATCCGGAAATACAAATAAGAGCCAAACTTTTGTTAGGGACCAAAGTCGAGTTCAGGCTTTTTGCGTCAATGCCAAAGACTGTGGTGGTGGGCCTTGGGGACGAAACAGGAAAGAAAACTAATGAAAGCCGGCAGGTGCTTCTCTCATTTGTCCCATTTCCGGTTTTGTCCGATCAAATGCCTCAACAGCATGCAACAACATCTTTTTCTCCTTGATGTAAAAAGGATTTTGCCTTTATTGTTTCATAAAAAGAATATTTTCATTTGTGGCTTCTTTTTGGGCAAATTTAAAAGAAATGCGCAATCTACTCGTACATCCACAGTCGATTACAGCATCGTAACTTGCGAAGCTTAGTTTTGCGATTTATTTAGTGTGGGATCAAATCATTTGGCCCGTGCACTGTATTGCATAAGGGCTATGTAAGAAATGAATGCTTTTTTTTAATGAAATTGGCAATTAAGTGTTAGCATATAGAGTATCAAAATTTTCAACTTGGTCTGACATGCAATGAGACGGCCTTGAGTTCAAACTCTCGACCGCACTGCTGATGACGATGCGTGCTCTTCTGTCCAGGCAACGAGAACCAAAGCATGTATCCCGAGCTGTGGGTTGGTTGCGACTGCGTGTTGTCCTGCTCCGGCCGTTTCGAGCGATCTGATCGGCTCGCTCAACGTCTCCGTAGCTACCGGTGGGTCCCTCATCTTCCATGGGCTTGTGCCTGGCTAGCCTTTTTTTTTTGTTGTGCCTGCCCCAGCTTTTATGCATACCTTGGCTCACGCGTGACTCTCCTTTTTTTGTTTCGCTGTTGTAGTGCAGTTTGCTCATACACCGGTAACAGATGGCGGCAGGAAAGGATCTGATCAAGGTACCACTGCAGTGAAGATATCCAGCGCATTCAGAGATGCGAACCAACTTAACCTAATTACGAAAATATTTCGAAAAATAGCCCACTTAAAATCGAGAGCAAATCGGGGGAAAATGAGGAATGCGCTAATGTTTGGAGTGCAATTGGGAAAAGTTGGGAGAATATGCTATTTTTAGATTATGTGTCCTTGCCAAACTTGTTATCGTGGCAAGGGGCAATGAAGCAAAGAAAACGGTGCTTCCCATTCGGCAATGTTCGCTTATATCCCGCCATAGCTGACTAGCCGAATTTATGCCGAGGCCATCATTGCTCCGAACATCATGATTGCTAGAAATAAGCTGTATTTCAATGTTTCAAAAAAAAAAAAAAAAGACTAGATCAAGTTAAAAACAAGGGACATGGTTATCTCTTGCGGGTGGGGCATCTCTTGGGATGTTATGGTAATCTCTTGCAATAGACGCTGGCCTCTTTTTTTCAGGACGCCAAACTCTCGAAATTACTTTCTTGGTGATTGCTATGAATGTGCACATATTTGTTATATATATAGAGGCCTAGACAGTGGGAAGTTGGCCTGCCTTGAGATGGCGTTTGATGTTTTTGCCATAGCCAGTGCATCCCTACTTTTAACCTGGTGTTTTCAGTGTGCATATGTTAGACATTCGGTTAGTGTTATTTCACTTTTTCTTTTTACTGGGCTGCACTTAACTAACATACTCAGCCGCCAATCTTGCCCTACGAGTTTGACTTTGCTCGTGATAGTAAGTAAGTTGCCCGTTTTGTGCTGGGCAATAGTTATTTGAACTAAGTTAAACAAAAATTAAATTAGAAGCTCCGAAGAGCATGTAGCTTGGGTATGGTACCATTGGCTTTTTGCGCCTGTTGTGTAGGTAATACACTCTAAGCTCATTATAACAGACCTGGTCACAACAGACATTTGAATATAACATACCGATTTGTGAAGTTTGGTTGGTTTTCCTGTATGCCCCATTGACTCAACTTCATATCTGGATACAACATACTCCTTTTACAACAGACCGAAATCTTGGTCAAAATGGAGGTCTGTTATAATGAGCTTAGACTGTATCAGGTGAGGGAGTGCAAACGATGTGCAGGTTGCATATATCTCTGCTCATGCTGCAGACTTTGAAGTTTTCAAGTTGCTCATTTTGCGTATCTTGATACAGGCGGGACTGTGCTAGAAAAATCAACCATAAGAGCTTTTAAAAGTAATTGGGTTTGGTGAAAATCTGCCTGACATTTCAAAACCGATTTGGTATTTTCATCAGGGGCGACTATTTGCTCATGGAGAGCAACTGCTTGTTTTCCATCCACGGTGGTGTCGTTTGCCCATTGACATATGCCGATGGTAAGGTGCGTGTCAACCTGTCGATATTTCCTGGCGTAGTCTGGATGTGCCAGGATTCTATGAGGAGTCGTTGGCGGATATTGGTTTCAACGCTGATTATTCCGGCGTTGTCAATATGGGTACGGTGGTTGTGCTCTGCGAGGGTACTAACCCGATCAAATTTTTGCCCATCATTTTTGTGTTGCAGAGTTCTTTGATGGAGGTTTTCTGTCTCGCCGTTGTAAGTGGCGGAGCATTGGGAACACGGAATTTGGTGTACGACCCCTCGTGCTTTTTCTTTAGGAGAGCGGTCTTTGGGGCGTGGCATCGGGCGCCCAAGCATCGATGCCGGCTCGTGGGCTGCCTGAAAACGTTCTTTTGCCAGCGTACGCGTGAATGCTTCGCTGGTCACCTTTATGTAAGGATCACGGATGTGGGTGTTCCGGCGGGACTGCGTACTACTTTGAGGCTGGAGGTTCCGATGACCACGGTTTTGGCGGTGGGCCACACGACCGATGAAGTTGCGCGTGTAGACATTCTTTTAGAGCGCAGTTCTTAGGCGCCCGTCACCGGCTTCAGCGGCGTCGCTGTCGCCGTTGGCGGAACCGCGCGTTGCATTATGGGAAAATTTTACCACTAAATTTAGCGAGAAAATTTTCACAAAATTTTCCCGCCTTATTTTGGGGGAAAATTTTCCCGCTGAATTTAGCGGAAAACATTCTCTGCTATATTTAGTGGAAACATTTCTCCACTAAATGTAGCGGGACAATTTCCCCACTAAGTTTAGAGGGGGAAGAGTAGAGGATGGATGGGGGGATACCCTCCTTTCCTCCTCAAGAGGTGTGCTCTAATTTGGCATTACAGAGAATTGTAAACGTCTCATTTATTTATGTTGGCGATGCCTTTTTCTTTTTATTTTTCTGTCTCCGAGGAGCAGATGTTCTTAGCTCTGGACAGGAGGGTTGCAGCCTTTGTGACTCGTAGTGCGGTAGGAGCCAAAGCGGAGGTAACGTCCAGTGTAGGTTGGTTTTCAGTATACTGCGAACGTCCGATCTTCTCCTGGTCGCTTGGCAAGCGCATCGTGGAATGCCGAGCTGCGGTCTTTTTCGCATTCTGCTGCGAACTGGATGGCCGGTTTGATGGAGTTTAGATGTTTCAGAAAGTTGCTAACCTCCGGCATTTTGACGATACCGAAGCAATCATCCACATAGCGCGCAAACACTTTGGGGTAGGTGCTGCTGAGTCGAAATTCCAGAAGGCGGCACAGTTCATATACGTTGAGGCACATCCTTCCATGCGGGTCTCGCTCCTTCTCGGAGGCGTTTCGGACTCTGCTAAAGGCCAGGGCGACCGGAACGCTTGGGAAACAAACTTGTGACGCAAATATAGACGAAGCTATACGGGATCCTCGACGAAACCTTCAAAAACCATCCAGAATTGAGGAACCTCTACCTGCGGCTTATATGCAGGAATGGTTCTGCTCCTGGTTTTTACGGGCTCTCTAAAATCCATTAAACAAACATTCCTCTCCGACTTAGCGTAAACATCTTGACCTCACCACTTCGAGCAGTCTCCAACTACCTCCACCACCCTCTTTCCCCTCTCGTTGCAAAAACACCGACCTATGTGCGCAACGCTGGCCATTTCATGGAGCTTGTCTCTTCACTAAAAGTCACAACCGAGGAAAGTGAGACGTCGTCTTTTGACATCGTTTCGTTCCCAACCAGACAGATCTCTGTCAAATGTTTACTTTTAAATTTTAGATTGTCTAAACGTCTGCAATAATTTTAACATTAAAGGTCCCTGAAAAGGAAATTTTTTTTTAAACAGTGGCTAAGACAAGCATGTCAAAAAATAAATTTTATGCAAAAAAAAAGAATTAAAGCAATATTGTTAACGAGAGATTTATTTCAAATTCTGCGCGTGAAGTCCATGACATCACGGGTCATTCTGGAAATACCATCTCGGTCGTGAAGGCGAAGGCGATTCACCATTCTTTCATGCGCCCAAAATGCCGAGAGAGACAACGAGTGGAAAGGAGGTGTCTGCCAACAAAATTGCATTTTGCACCGTCAAATTGCATTAAAAAAATGTTTTTTGCACAAAAAAATTAATTTTTTTGACACGCGTGTTTCAACCGGACCTAAAAAGTGTTTTTCTTTTTTTAGGGACATGGCTGGAAAGGGTCAACTTTTATTTATTTATTTGAGGATACTGCCGGTCAATTTTTGAGGACCAAGGCATAAGACAGCATCAGAAACCATCAATGAGTCGAATGAACACAAGAACAAATAACAAGTGGCTTAGTAATTGGTGACAGAAAACACAATTCATCAACTGCACTCACAAATAAAGTGGTAGAAGCAATCGCGGTCACACTTGGGGGCAACTCACTCCACTCACCAATAGGATAAGAAAAAAAGGAGTATTTAACAACATATTTTCTACTGCAGAACTCGAGAAAAATACTTGCGCTTCAACCTTGTATCGCGACTCGCGTTATACTGCAAATAATCATCAAAATTTAAACCAGTCTTATTATGAGTTATATTGTGCAAAAATTTCAAACGCTTTACTTTCCTTCGACGTGATAATAAAGACACTCCGGAGGCGGTGTACAATGGTGACACGTGCAAATCTTTGCCGTATGCACAAATTGATTCAAACTTTCAGGGTGAATTGAACCCCATTAGGCATCACCCGGCCCAAATGCACGTCACACGACACCGGACAACACTTATTCCCTTCACCCCTGAGCTGACATTTGTGGTGGAAGCTACGTGCTTGCCAGACCAATCAGCCGCCTCCCTTTCATCACCTGACCTCATTCTCTGCGCGTGGGTATGCGCGAGAGAGCGTGATCACGTGGCAAAAGTGTGGCTGGCCCAAGGTGCACGTAGCTTCCACAGCACTGTCAGCTTAGGGGTGAACGGGGTGGGGAAAGCAACTTTTGTGCGAGTTTTGAGCGACGGGCTAATTTTCTTAGGGGGAGAACGGCAGTGTCCAGGTACACAAACGGGGGTCCGAGCAAAAGGGGAGTTCCTCCTTTCCGTCTTCTTGAACTGTTTGGTACAGAGGAGGAAAGCTAAGAAGGAAAATGTTGGAAAATAGTTTCATGACCCCTCTAACAAGCTCCATAAAAGAGCTACTTTATTAGAAAATGTATTAAAAAAAATTGGAATCTACGAAATTTTTTCGTTTAATGTGAAGTAGAATATCCATAGTGCAAGTTAAGGTAAAAATTAATTGTAGAAATTGCAATTCTAGAGAAAAACAATAACACCCAAAAAGAGCAAAAGATTTTAACCAATTTTTGCGTTATAAAATATTCAGTTTTTGTCACGAAGAATTTAGCTTTTTCCGATTATGAGTACCTTAACTTGTTCCTCAGGAAATTTCAGTCAAGGACGCCAGTGCATAGAATCTTTCTACTTTCAAAATGACAAAACGATAGATTTCCTCCTACCACATTTCTGGC